GTGTGTGTGTGGGGGGGGGAATTCCAATCTTACTTTTTAAAAAACCATACAAAAAAATACCTGTAGTCTAAGAATGAAACTCAGATGTTTGACTTTTGGAGATTATGTTATTCCAACTGTGAGTGTGAATAAATACAGTACCAGTATGTAGAAAATTGCTATGGGAGTTTATGCCTGATTAGCAGTGGAGCTCACATGGCTGGATGTCTCATGAATGTACTCACAGAATGCTGGTCACCATCAGAACCATTTCTATCATTAAGCCTTTGGCATTTTACATACATGTACGTGTCTGCATGTTTTCTGGTACATGTACACTAGGCCTACCCTTTTTCGTTCTTGGGAGTGGTGGTACAAGGAAGTGGGTTGGCCTGTGGGCTATTGCATTTGGCAATGTCACAGCAATCCAAAGCAATGAAATATGGGCAACACTGTCAACACTGAACAATTGGATCTAAAAATGAAGGGTGTACACACGTGTGCCCCACTCAAGCTTCCTACATGTATCTTCCAGTATCATGGCCAGGGTCCTGTCCATACGGGGGAGGGGGGTGACATGGGAGAGGGGGCCCACTCTGGGTGGGGACCCAATTTCTGTTAAAGCCGTTATCCACGGTCACTCAAGTTACAGGACTAACACTTGCTGCAGCTGTTTCCAGAGCCGGTGTCGATCAGGGGAACAATTAAACACAAATGTTCACTCTCAAAAATTTCAGTGACATGATTCACAAACAGGTTCATTTTGAGCTTCACTGTGCTACTCAAAAATCCAGAGCCATGAACCGTTTTCTCCGTTTGCAAATTTTCCAGCGGAGGGGCAATGGGAGGGGGGGATAATATCTCATCGGGGCCTGCTTCCCCACCCCCCCACACTTGTTTTCTTTCCTTGCAGGAACATGTTCCCCGAGGGTATTCCATCACTTTGTTTTCATCGATTTAATGACAACTTCCGATGGTGCTCTCTGTTGACTGTGCCAGTGAAATATCAATTCACGATAAGGACTGTCAACACAATAAGTAGGCTAAAGCCACAAACCGCTGGCTAAAAAAAAAAACCTGACCAACTGACCCCAAGCAGCGGCCTAGGTGCACTGTTGTCACAATGAGCACAGATGAAGATGGCCAAAGAGGCCAACACCAAACAACAGTAGGCCTATTCTACCCACGCACTGTTTAACAAATCAATCCAGGGATTATCAAGCGCACCTACGGGATGACGTTTTTGATAAATAACCAAATCTAAAAAATCAACACTGGTCATATGTCGGGGGGGGGGGGAACTTGGGGCTAATTTCATTGCCCTGCTTGACATAGGGGGAGGACGACTGGACACTCAAGATCTACAATGGCGATACTAGTACATGAACTCTTAAAGACTAACTGAACTCTAAAATGATACAGAATGAGCTTCCAAAGATGGCGCTACTTGATCAGATACGCTGAAGTTTTACACTGATCACGGAAGCACAGTGTTGCAGGATTCACCTGCAGGAAGGCATGCAACCCAAATTTCCTAATGCACAAAATACAGCTTAATGAATGTGAGAGTCTCTACCCATGGTTAGCAAAAACTGGAAATTATTCCACTTTAAAGAGTGATCAAGAACGGGCAATACAGCACAATTAGCAGAAAAGACAAGTGTGAATAGACACACTGTACACTACCCCTTACAGCCTGTTTTATATTAAAACAACTGATGGACTACCAGTGCATGCACCTGCTATTTGATTTAACCATTGAGCTAGGACCCTGGCTCTACGATATTACGCGGGATTCCTTTAGCTTTAGAGATTGACAGAAAAAATGGCTGAGAAAAGTTTCTATTGAGATTAGAAAAACTTTCCGTTTTTGGCTCACCTCTTCCTCGGAGATGCCCTCCTCCTCTGACCCAGTCAACTCACTGGAATCGACCCTCTCCAGGTAGCAGACTGTCTCCAGGCTCTTCTCCCGTTTCCATGACAACCGCTTCTTGAGATTCAGCTCAGAAGAGGCTGTGCTGCCATCCCTCCGCACCACTAAAGAGGCTGCGGCCTCATCTTGAGTCTCTGAGGAAACTGACGCTCTGGTCATTGCCGGTGCACTCAGGAGGTGTTCTTGGTCCGAGGTAAGTGCTCCTGCAGGAGGGGACCCGGTGGGTTGGAAGTGACAGAGGCTGCTGTTCTGCTCCACATAGGTGCTGTCGACAAACACTTTGATGACGCTTGAGGATGGGGCAGCGGCATCTGTGATATCAGAGAAGGAAGGAGCACGCTTCTCTGTCTTACAAGAGTTCACTGCCGCTGCTGCTTTTGTGTGTTCCTTGTCCTCTTGGCTGGAAGGGCACAGTTGGGCTTGCTGGGGATGGTGTTCAGAGTTGGGCTCTTTGGCATGAAGCGAAGAGCGAGGGGACTTCCGCAGGGGAACTGGTAGACTCCAGCGCCACCAGTTTTTGCGTTTTAATGCTGGTTCTGCATTTTTCTTCAAACTGGCTGATGGTCCGGCAAGCTTTTCAGCAGTTTTAGCAGGCTCTGTTCTGTCAATAGAGGGCAGCATGCTGCCTATCCCTAGTGGTGTGCTCCATCGATGGTTACGCAATGGTTCGTTCGTGTCTGGTCTTAAGGTCCTGTTTTGAAAAGAATCTCGTGCTCCCCCTGAGGATGAAAGCTTTGATGAACTCCCTGCCTCGTTAATTCTATCCAGTTCACCTGGTGTGCGATTCGTTTTGCTGTTCAAACCCGGCATTACAGGTGTAGCTGGTACCCCACCATCTGAGACACTGGTGACTTCAAGGTTGCTGGCGCGACTGTCCTGGCCCGACCTGCCATTGCCGGTAAGCTGAGCCCAGAAACTGTGGGACCACTGCTCCAGGGTGGACGGCATGCTCCACCGGTTGGCCACCATCGATGATTGAGCCAACTGGCCGGGGCTCTGGACGTCCGACTTTGCCCTCCGCTTCACCACCACGGCCTCCTCCCTAGCCGCCTTGCAAGCTTCGCCCTTGGGAGGATCCTCCACGCTCATCAGGAACTCCAGCAGCTTGAGTGGGTCCGAGCAAGATTGCAAGTAGCGCTGCTCCACCTCCGAGTTCTCCTTGTGCAGATGAAAGGAGTCCTTCCGATGATTAGGTCTTGGGATGGCCTCCTCAGTGTCCATCATCTTCTCCAGGATTGTCGACCCGCTGATACAGGAGGCACCTTCACTGGGCAGATCATCCTTTGAAACAGTCTCCGTTGAGGTTAAAGCTTTATACGGCGACTCAACGCTAGATATTTTTCTCCTCCGCCTAGAATTCCGACGGGCAACGGTGCTCACTTGTTTACCTGCAAGAACACCAGTGGGGAAAAATCATCATTAAAATCTGGATCTTCAAGCACACCATTCCTCTGATGAAATCGTTATCCCTACAACCATCAACCAAGCAAGCCTACACGACTACTCTCTGCTGGCATCAGCAGCTAAACTGCATGCAACAGATTTTTGCTACACAAAGGGAGCACTGCACAGGCACCTGACTCATGACCACATAACGGAGAAAAGCTACCGTACAAACCTCACTGTTTGACGATTCTCACACCAAAAACACTTTTCCAAAACTTCATAATTTATTTGCTGTAGGCTTCCAACCAAAGTCCAAAACAGCACTTCCACCAGTAAGAGTATGGCCAGGAGACAACTGCTTGAGTCAGGCCGTACCTTTCAATTTCTTGCTCCGACAATGTATGAAAATGTGCCTCTTGTCATCACAGCCGACTTTCTGACCTCAATTACAAAAGCAGCCCAACTCTGGTTAAGTTCTTGTTTATGCAAAATACTGATGCCACTGTCGACTGCACCAGTAACAACAAAGACAAGTGTAGTCAAGCGGAACAGGGCAGCCCCAGTCCCAGACGTTTCTTTCTTCTTTATGGGTCAATTTTCTGATTCCTAAACTTTGGATCAAGGAGTTTGGAAAAAAAAAAAGGAAAAAAAAAAAAAACGAGGACAAATTTATTTAGCTTTGTGGCGGTGGACATCAATTACCTGGTTGTGTCTGAGCCTGCAAACGATGCATGTCTATTAACAACAGAATTTAATTCCAGTTTGTGACCATACTTCTGAATTTTTTTTGGGGGGGGGATGGACATCAGTCCTTCAACGCAAAATTCTATGAAGTCCATGTATACATGTTAGCTTGGGAAAGGATTTGTGTGTGTGTGTGTGTGTCGGTAGGCCTTCAAGGTATTGAGAGGATTATTTTTTTTTCCTGGTAAAATTGAGATTGAGGCTTGGCGATAAAAATTTGCCCTCATGACGGTTTTGGTCCCTACAAGAACATTTCAACATGTGCATAGTCCCTAAAACCACACAGCAAATAAAAGTGTGGGACTGCATACAGAAACGTGGCTTACAATTCCTAGAAAATTTTGTTCAAGTTTTGCAATGAGACAGGTTTGTCTGAGACCTAAAAATACTTGCAGCAACTCCCATTAAACACAAGTTGAGCCAAAACTGCACAACCATGAACCTTACAGATCTTTATCCTGCTGCTACCATGTTTGTCTTGTTCCCTGTAGACCCATTGGCAACTTCACACATTGATTAAAGAGAATGGACTGTATTTCCTTCCAGCCTCAGTTTGGTTACATTGCTTTGAACGACAGAAAAGATGGATGATACCCGTAGAGGTCTACCACTTTTTATTTACAATTTACGGAATCAATAGCTCTTCCAAGACTTACTGAAAACAAGAAAAAACAAACAAACAAACAAACAAACAAAAGAAAAAGCTCATAAATTCAACCAAACCACCAGTACTTTAATACCTTCCCATAGCCAAATTACTGTTAGAATAAAGCTTCTAAAAATGCCCACTTTTGCATTGTGGCATTGTGTTGCATTCAGAGTCACTCTACCGGTAACTGAAGGAAGTCGAAGACTGCAAAACAATCCACGGGTGTCACGGTAGTCCTTGTACATGTACATGCATATTCATTGACACTGTACAGTCTGTGTTGTCCAAAGGCCTAATTGTGATTAAAAAATCCACCAGCTTACTCGGGTGTTACTCAACCTCTGACCTACTGATTGCTACATTTGTACTTCGATTAAAACCAGCATTGTATCCAGTTTGCAGCAGCAACTAAAAAGACATGATTCCAGATGAAGTTTTAACCCTAACAGTCCTCAATCCTGCACCTGTTGGAGGACTGAGGACCGTTAGGGTTAAAGTCCAATACTCACTTGTGCAGCCTTAGCATAAAAATAGTTCTCTCGGAATATCGCGTGAGTACTAAGATGATTTTTACGACAAGGCAACATTTTGTCCACTAGACACAACACACAGCCATAAATATTGATGCTGGCCACGTCCATGCAGCGCACCGCTTGATGCGAGTCTGTCGTCAAGTTGACACATTACATGGAAGTGTGAGAACAGTCCACACCTTCAAGTCAAGGAAATACCCCAGGCATGATATACATTTATGTGTAACAATGTGGAGAGCTTTCCCTGCTAAATGTACACAGAACAGGCCTAACGTGTGGGTTTAAAGCTTTCAGGGAATAGAAAGAGGTTTCTTTAAAGCAGTGGATTCCATTTCACAGGTCTCCGCTAAAGGTTACATGAATGTAAACAGCGTACTAAATAAGAAAGGACTGGGTCCCGGTGCATGGGTAGCACCTTTTCTCTCGTGCCATCAAAGGAACCGAAACGGAAGATTTGTTACTCAGGTTGGTTGTTGAAATGTGATCTGACATGATTGATTGGGTTTTTTTTTTCGGGAGAAATTTTTTGGCCCCTCGCATGTTTAATTGCGTTGGTTGGACTTTTTTTCTGGGTTGAGTTAAGACTGCAGTTGAGTCTATTGCAAGTTACATGTACATGTAGGTCTGAAGTCAAGCTGCACGGTCACTTCAAGGAACAAGATACTCATATATGCAGTAGGCATGAACAGTGAAAAAACTGATCGCTCGCGTCATACGTGAACTTCGTGTTAAGGGATCATGAGTGGATTGTGAACTTGACTCAAACTGACTTGTGACTGGGTCGTGAGGACTCAAGAACACTTGGGTGTTTAACAACAACTCAGCCTGCAAAGGCTCAATAGAAACACACGGCATGCAGCACATGGGGGCGGGTCTAAGTTTGCCTCAAAGGGAGGGGGGAGTGGCAGCTGTAAGGAAGGGGTTATCAATGTTGTCTGTTGTTTTTTCCTCTTTATTTTGCTATTTTAGTGGCCCAAATGGGGGGGGGTTTAAAACCAAGAACCCCCTCTGCTAAAATATATGCTAGTGACACATCAGTAGGTGAACATACACGGATGTGAGTTCTGTTGTTCAAATGAAACTTTGATCAGAGGGTCAATATAATACTTAACAATAATTTTTTATTTGTTTAGCCGGAACTCTATTCTGTTGACATTTGAGAGGTTTGCTCTCTTATTACAGGACCAAACTTCAACAGCCTCCAAAGAGACAAAAAGTCTTTTTTTTTCCCCCCCGCAGAACGAAGGGTACGATTTATTTTGATCTATTTACACAAAAACTTCTCTTATCCACGGGCCAAGTGACGTTATCGCAGGATGCAAACAGAGAGATAGGCGGAGGAGATTATCCGGCTGACAGGGGCTCCACGCGGAGAAAAATCTACCGGAACATCCATGCACACGCAGACTGACACAAATCTAGAGAGCCATGGGGGGGGGGCTTGATCTATGGGTAAACAACGTCACCAAAATCGATGAGCGTGTTTCCATTATGGACGGACGCTGGAAGGAACTTGAAATATGGGTGTTGGCATATTGTTTCTGTTGGATTGTTGGAGACGTTCATGTGGACTCAGTGTACGTCTTTTTGTCACTGCATTGACAGGAGAATAAAAACAAGAGAACAGTGGGGCTATCTTTAGGAACAAAGACGAGAACAGGTGAATATAAGAAGTGTGAACAATCTGCACTGAATACAATGGTGATCTGTCACTGACTGACAATTTGCCATCACGTTACCGAGGGGAAGGGGGGTCATGCATGGGCTCATCGCCACGGCAACTGGACCAGTCTTCAGCGGGGAGGTTTGACTGATGACACGGTGATCAAACTTTGCTAGTATCAGTGATCAGATTTTTTTGGGGGGGGTGGAGACATCGGGAAGTGAAAAATATTTTCCAATTAAAAGCATGGTTCTTGCCAAAGTGCTAAGCTTGTACCAAAAAGTACTCCCAAGGAGAGCCATTTTCTGTCTCGGAAAGATAAATGTTTGTGCCATGGGCTGGTAGGGTGGAGATGATATATTGCTGTGCGAGAAGCGGGAAACACCATAACAAAGTGCAAGTAACCTACATACAGGACAGAAACATTGGCCGTAGTTTTCATTATTGTGCGTTCTAGGCACTGTTTTCGTGCTAGGCTGATGATCAGCTCTTGTTTCAGTAACATCCATGGGGTGTACAGTTGCAACGGGCTTAAGGCACTCGCTTAAGACATGGGCTGGCTAGTTTAGTTTCCAATGGAACACTTGTGTACTCCAAAACTGGCATGATGCCTGATTTGATGTAGTTACAAATAACAAACAGCTATGGATAATTGTCTATCGGTGAAAAAAACCCCAAAAAACAAATTATCTGGTTACTGAAAACCCATCACAAAATTAGCCTCAATTACACTTCAGCAAAATTTAAAGAGAAAGATGTCGTGACACATTTTTATGGTTTTTATAATTGGGAACTATGGCAGGGATTTCAAGCATAATACGTGAAAATTAAAGTCGTTTCGGTACTTTGACATCTCCTTATCTTTTCAGGATCACTTCACACCAGATCCTTGCCTCATTCAAATTTATGACGCCTGTTTTGACAACTTTCACGGGCACCATCTTTCGGCCATCAAACGCCCCCTTGCGTCTTTATCGGCTCGTTCATTCGGTCTTTATCGTTAATGCGTTAACGCTGTCGCCACTGAGCTGCTTCAGTTTTACGGCACAGCGGTGGAAAATTGGCATGCTGGCCACTTAGGTGAGTGATTAAAGACCTAATGAGGCTGTGTTCTCTAGCGAGTTGGCGCCATGGATGTGAACTTACACAGATCCAAAGTCCACATGCCTGATACCCGCCGAGCCCTGTTTTTTTTGGGCACCCTGTGAACTAGTTGGACTAGTTTTTTCCTTTCTTTCTTTTTGGTGCTATAATTATTCTGACATGATCCAGTAATGCAGACACTCCTGTGTGGGAATTTCAACCTGTTATTTTGTAGGGCAACGCGTCATGGCAACGCTGAAAAAGGAACTGTTGATCTTGTTGCATGGCTGATGTACATGTTGCAATAAGACAAAAAGAAAAACTACTGAG